GGTGCTTTGGCAACTCTAGGGAACTAAGCAAGGGGACCCCATTTCTCCCTACCCTTTTCTTCTAGCGATGGAAAGTTTTTTCTTTGTTGTTGGATTAAAGCTGCTTAAAGACCTGAGTTCCAGTATCACCTAAAGTATGTATCAACCTCTTGGAATTCCTTACAGATTTTTGCACATGATCTACTTCTTGTATCTACTGCTACTCCTGATTCTGTGGCTATTATGAACTTAGTACTATGGAAGTTCGCTGTCCTTTCAGGGCTTTCTCCTAACTTAGGACAAAAGTGAGGTTTCCGTTGCAGATGTAAGTAAAGACTTACCAGTGAAGCTTTGCATGAGCTGGGGATGGGGAAGGGTGCCTTCCTGTCAGATATCTAGGTGCCCCTTTGATCAGCACCGGATTATCTTTTTCTGATTATCTAGTCTTGTTAGGAAAGATTCAGAAAAGGATTTATGGTTGGAGTTCTAAATATGGACTTATGCTGGTATGTTACGGTTAATTTAAGTGTTATTGAGTTTGAAGATATGCCGATTGTATTTCTCTGAAAAGGTTTTGATTCAGGTAACAGGAATCAGAGTATGTTGGAAGGAAATGAGTAAGCCTTCTGAATATGGTGGATTGGGCTTGACCAGCTCAGAAGTATGACAAAGAGCTTTGCTTTAAATATATCTAGGCCATTGCACTAAAGAAAGACTGTCTATGAATAGCATGTGTTCATGTTGTTAAGCTTAAGCGTCATTTCTTCTTGGGTTGTGCCAACACCTAGTGATTGCTCTTGGTATTGATAAAAGCTCCTCAAGCTTAGACAGGTTATGCAACCATATATCTTTTCAGTAATTGGCAGTGGTGAGGAAACTTATGTTTGGTTTGACAACCAACAGTCAATAGGACCCTTACTGTCTTATTATGATTTGGCACATCTCAAGACAGTTTGGTAGCCTCTCTTCAAGCTAAAGTCTCCTCAATTATTGGCAATGCTTGGTGAATGGAATGCCTTAGTAGAGAGGAGAAGAAATGCAGCTGTTGAGGATCTTATACAGAATTTGAATCGATCTTGCAGCTTTGACATCTTCTCTGTCAAGTTTATAATTGATCTCTGCTGAGACATCCTGCAGCTGAAGTGGCTTCGCATCATCCTAGTATGGTTTATAAAAGTTCTTAAAACACCCCTTTATCATGTGGATGTTATGCATGGAGAGGTTAAACACTAAAGATAGGTTGATGAAGTTGAGAAACTTTTCTGATATGAGGTGTGTTCTGTGCAATGTTGATGTTGAATCTTGTGATCACTTGTCCTCAAAAATGTGATTACGCTGCCTACACTTGATTGAGGATCCATGCTTTCTGTCTTTTGTATAAAGATGCTTTCGTGTAAAACTGAGTTGGGTTGGTTAATCCAAAGCTGATTCATTTGGTAATCTGATTAAGATGTTGGTTCTTGGTGCTGTTGTCTATCAGATCAGGCAAGAAAGTGAATTGCACGAAAAGGGTTCTAAAGGAGATTAATTGGCAGTTATGTTGCTACTGGGAACAATGTATTGAACTCTAGGGATAATTGGATACTTGGTTTCAATAGCTATTTTACACAATTGATTTCTGCTAAAAGGAAAGTTTAGATTCATCTTATATAGATACTGCTATTAGCACTAGTTTCACATGTATTTCCTTGTGCAAAACTTATTGATTATCAATAATAAAAGTAGAAGTTTATGTTATAAAGAGAAAAAAAAAAAAAAAATCTCTGCTCATTCTTCTTGAATAGCAACTAAGAAATGCATCCATGTTCACAGTCATTACTATTTCTCTATTAAAAGCTGCTGATCAATGAATTCGCATGATGAATGCAAGATTGTATTTCTCTATCAAAATAAACATTTTATGAGAAAAGAAAATTTTAACTTTAGTAATATATTCCTTACACAGTAATTTCTTTCCTAAATATTCAATTTATATATATCTACTCTTATGCTGTCTAAGCAAAATCTTTTAAATCTAGAACATATATATATATATATATATATGTATATATTCTACACAATCAGCATATCATTTATTGAACAACATGGAATTTTCATTCTGACAGCTTCAAGTTCCTAATTTGATGAGTGATATCAATTAACTAAACCAAATCACAACATAGAGTTAGAAATAACAAATATTTCTTTCCTATTTTCATTGAAAGATTTTTCCTTTCTAAATAACTAATATGTTCATTAACAAATTCGTTATTAGTTATCGTAATTAATACATGTAATCCAGAATTTTTAGCTATTTTATAAGCTTCATAATTAAATCTGTATTTCTGTAACAGATTTGTCTATATTTACTCCCCATTATGTCATCACCAACCAAATCTTGGTTGGTTCATATAATTTAGCCCAATATTCTTATAGCATCCTTCCATGAATCCAAGATGCATGTCACCCACAATTATAGTACAACTTTCCCAAGAACACACTCAGGCATTAAATTCTTTTTATATATAAAAGCTAGCAAATTTTTTTTTTCTGCATCCTAACATTTTCAAGCAGGTATATATCATACTATTTCAAAATTAAGAAACTCAGTTGTATTGCATTGAAGTACAAATACTTGTCTATCTGCGTAAAAGCTGATTTATCTCTTCAAGGAGTACAAAAGATGCAGGATAAAGAAAAAAAAAATCTTGCAACTGAAGAAAAAGGTTACATCCTTTCCTCTCTTTTCCCTTTTTTTTTGGGGGTTTGCTGTTATAGGAGGATGAAGTGGTTGGGGACCAGAATGACAATCTTCACTAATTTACTTGCTAATAGGGATTGTTAATCATTAAGCTACTTTGGATCAAATAATGATAACTTGATGGCTTCTAATTGCTTGTATTATGTCAAAGCTTGTCCCCTATGAGACCTGGCAAGAATGTGATATATTGCAACAAGACAGTGATAAAGCTTGTCCTCCATGTGGTAGTTTAATAACAGGGCCATGCATGATTTGGCCTCTGACAAGCTTCTATTACCATACTGATTATTGATAATCACCACATTAAAAGATGTCATTATAGACAAAGTTAACAATTTCCCTCATCATTAAGGTTGGTCAAATTGGAGATGGATGGATTAAATAGCTGTAAAAGCAGAGTTAGTAAAATCTTGATTTTTAAAAGCAAGATCTTCATCCCTATTCTGACATGCTCTATATACAGGAGGCCGGATGCCGATTGGAAAGGAAAAATCATCTCTGATAGAATTTTACGTATTGGAAGCCGAGGCATGCAGCAGCTTGCATGGACTCAATACTTTTCATGGCCATTCATGTGAAAGTAAAATAAAAAATTAAGCAGAATTAAATCGCCCTTAACAAGGATAATTTTTTTCTTAGATTAGCCATTGATACAGTGCATTTTCTTGGGAAGCCTGTTAATTAGCTTTTCTAAACTATATTTATTTACTTATTGAACTGGTTGACTATAAAGATGATTGCTAATTACTCAAATTAATGGACTTTTTCTACTCTATACTTTTAATGTTTTCAATTATTCTCATTTTGCACTCTTATTTCAGACATTTTGTAACTCAAATTTACTAATTATTGCCATGTAACACCTTGAATTTTTTAACTGGGTACTTTATACCCTATAAGTTTTAAGTTTATTACAAGTGATCAGTAAAATCTTGCATGCTATCAAGGGAAGCATGAGGAAAGTATATGTCAATGTAAGAGGCCATTCTTCCTTCTAAATGATCAAACTTGGCATCAATACACAAGAATTGGACAAAAAAGACGAGTCGGTGCATATATATTTTGTCTACTTCCACCTACAATATGAGTGGTTGGGCTAACTTGAGACTTTTTGATAAATTTAGGTGCAAGTTTGTAAAATAAAACTAAGGGTGTCTATGAAAAAGTGTAGATTTAGAGGGCACAAAATAAAAAAAAAACATTTAAACTTCCTCATCTTTATATTGATAAACAAAAAAGAATACACAAGTGAAGCAGCATACCCCTTGAACACAACATCAGCCATTCCAAGAAGTTAAATCATCATCCTATCAGACAAGTATGCTGTATAAGTCCTATTAGAATATACAGAATCAAGACCTAAAATCAGAAAAAAAAAAAAAATCCTAACTCAACACTTGATTTAGAGGGTACAAAATAAAATTAGTCCTACTGAAATTTAGTAGTAGACGCACCATATTGATCTTCAATGAAATTTGGTTCAAGTGCTATAGACAAATCACTACAGCACACAGATCTAACTTCCATGAGGCCAAAAAAATAATAAAACTCCTTATATATACATATACATATATATATATATGTGTGTGTGTGTGTGTTGTTTATCATATACATATTATTTGGACGTGATACTGGTAAGAAGTTGAACCTCAAATTCTCCCCTAGTCATAACACGTGTGTTATAAAGGAAGTAAGTATTTACTTCAATCGAAATTGTAGTCCTTCAACCACAAAAGTAAAAAGATCATCTATAGTCATGTAATTGTCAACCAAAAAAAAAAAAAGAAGAGATAGAGATCAAACTCCACGAGCATCAAGCAATGTTCTTCTTGTCGGTGGTAATTCATGTCATTTGCTTGAGCTTAGATAGATTTGGGTCACAAGATTTTGCGTAACCAAACTTCTTTGCTCAAAAACAGACTAATCAATCTTCCTAATGATGCAGTATCTATCAACTGCTCCTCGTTAAAGCCGTGGAGTTCAGTCTTTGACATGACTTATACTTGCCTGAAAAGCTAATCAAGAATGAACAACTCCAACCTCACATGGAAAATAAGTGAAAGCACAACCAGATTCTTAAGTTTGAACAACCACTCTTGGACTCTAATTCATTAATTTGTTCCCTATGACTCCAACTTTGATGCCATGATGATGATAATGATGATCATGGTGAACAGGCTAGTAGCTACTCAAACAAAACAAAACAAAAAAAAAAAAGAGAGAGGCCTCAAAAAACCTGCCTATAAAAGATAAATAAATTGATTTTTAAACCATCTTCTTCTTTTTTTTTTTTGGAGTTTGATCCTCACATCAGCTTAGAGAATTATCAACTACAAGGTAGTATGAGCCTTCTAGTTAATCATGATAAATGAGGCATAAAAAGGGAGGACTAAGATGAATAGGTTCATCTGTTCAATCTAATAATTTTCGCTCTAAGCTGTGAAAATGAGTAGTATCTTTATGTTTTTGCATTTTGAAACTATGTACCATGTCTAGTGAAGTCTTTTTCTATTTTTAATTTACGAAGGAACTCAAGGTTAGGTGCACTTTGACAAGCATAAGAGTAGAGGAAAGAAAGGTCATCTACTAAAGTCAACTGCGCTTTAACAAGCCTTTCTTTCACTTTTGGAAGTCCCTTCAAACGAATGCAGATGCTACATCAGCTGAAAAATTACTCACACAATCAACTCAGGGACATATTGTGTCATCAATATCTAACTTTAGAATCTAAATGAATGATGCAAGGCGAGGCAAGGCAATATACTGATGCCATTACAAAATTCGTGGAGAACAAAAAACTAAATGGAGAATGAACTAGTGCACGAGAGAACGCATCTGTTCTCCCTTTATTTTCAAGAAAAAGAACTTGAAATGCGGTAGAAATAGTAAATTAGAGCTTAAGTAATGATCTTGACAATTTTAGAAGAAAACGGCTTCACAAGGAAAAGAAAGGCAACCACACAATTTACATCCAACGATGATCAGTATGATCTACAAAATAGACCAAATTTGTGCTGATGCATTTGTCAGTGAAATATAAAGCCTCCAAAACTCACTCCTTCAGCTATATCTATCTTAAATTTAGGACCCCTTGATGATAATACGACAGAAGAGACAGTCGGACCACTTCTTGTTTTTCTCAGAACAGAAATCTTTATTCAGCCATAGATAGCGGACACAAGGGAAGTGACATAGCTAACATGGGAGAATAAAACAGTGAATTTTTTCAATATTCATGAACCATTCATGTATCATCAGTAAAAAGGTCATTCATCGGTACCATTACAATTTTAATACTTGATAAATCAATCGTAGAAATGAATCAAATTCAGAAGCTGCGGGTGTTAAGACTTGCAACAGGGAACTTAATCAGATATTTCATTATAATCAGAGCAGCTTGTAGATTCTTACTACTCGCCATTCGGAGTTCAAGCATTTTCCAAGCATACATAAATCAGATTGAAACAGCTACAACCATATGTAGCTAATATTCCAGGAACTTCAATAACTTGAACTTAGATCTCTCTATTTATTTTCTTTTCTTTTTTGCTTTTTGGCTAAATTAAATGAATTGAAATTGAATTTCAAGCTCTGAGCACAATAGGGTATGGGATTACAGCCACACAGTACTTCATCCCGAACTTTGTCTAATGTGTTTCAGTGAACTAACAGCAAACATTCAATGAAATGCAGATAGCTTTCATGTATTATATTTTCACTCTCTTCGCTTATCATTGGCACCTAACCTCCGAGTTTTTATGGATTCTTTTCCACAATGATCGTATCATTTAAGTAGAGAAACAAACAAACATCTCCCGTTGAACAAGGAAAGTAGAAACTTGAAAAGTACAGTTGATTGTAGTATGAAATACATCTGTATAATTTAACTTGTACAGAATTTGTACCATAAATCTCTTCTTAAAAATGAATGTGACTGCTTGTCGTAAAAATAGACAAAGAGGATGAATCAATGATAGAGACTTTCTATGCTCATCCATCGGAACCACTGAAAGACACAGACAAGAGGTTTAATTTCTTTTCTTTCTGGTCCAAATAAATAAGCTATTTTGCTCTGCATTTTTTATGTTACATCACTAGGAGACAGTAAGACTACTGTAAAGGCTAAAGGGCATCATGTGAAAGCATTTGGACACCTGTCCAAATTTACAGAAAAGCTGCAAATTATCAGGCACAAAATTACTATCAAAAAATTGAATGCATCCATTTGCAATAGCTACTACAACAACTATAGAAACAAGAAGAGTTAACATCTCCAGAGTAATGCTTTTGCTTCCACAGCCTATAAACAACTACAATCACAGAATATCATGATAACCAAAACTTATTGCATCATCATCATTTCAATCTAAAGCCACAATGAAACACAAAATCCGATAGAAGTTTGTTTACTAGTCAACATAACAGATTATATGGGATGTCCAAACAAATCAACACTCCCCCGCCCCCGGGATATGCAATTTTGAGATCAAGGAAGTAGATCATAATCACAATCATTTGATTTTGGAAGGACACGAATCACTAGGATTCTAACTAGTTACTTCTTGCAAAACAAAAAAAAAAAAAGTATGCTTTTCTTGAGTCTTGGGATTGTTTTAATATTGTACTGACTCCTGGATCATATGCAGTCCGGAGACAAAGAAATGAGTCATACAGACACAACAGCCCACGGTGCGCGCAAGGAGATGCATAAAGTTTATCAATGCGCATGCAAGCATGTATAGGCCTATTGCATATAAGGAAAGGGATCTATTGTGTTTTGAGTCATTATCTTGATTGTTGAAAAGTATAAATTTTAATTCAATTAGATAATGCTGGCCTAGATTTTAAGTGGACATTAATAGATAAATGTGGTCCTAATGCAGCTAATTACACAACAAGACCTTACACGCGAATGCCAAGTTTTATACTTGGATCTTAAAGAGATTTATCAACATTATAAAGATAGGAAACAACATATATTTTATGCAATAATTAAAGAATGCACTAAAAGCTAACCATCAAGGGAGATTATAATCTGGAAGATTTAATGAAGAAAAAGATTAATTACCTGATATAATCGAGTTGCAAATTCATTGGATTGTATTGTTGGTGAGCGATTGAAGCTGCTAGATGACCTGATGAAACCAAATCTAAGAAGCTAGATTTCCTAACATGTTTCTTTACTCTCAAACGCCTTCTGATTAACCCGTTAAAACTAAAACATGGTAAGAAAGAACAGCAAGAAAATTTGAACATATAGATCAAATCTTGCCGATCTGTTGCCAATTATACATCCTTTAAAGGTTATGAAATATGATTTGGAACTTTAGTCTAGTGGTATCTAATTCAAGATTTTCATGATCTTAATGGAAGTAGTACAGGAATCACCAAAAGATTCATGGACTTGTTCTTACCAGATCATGCTGGCAGCTTCAAGCTCTCAGACCAAAATACATCAGAAAGAACATAAATGAACTTGATGATAAAGGAAGTAGAATTGAATACCAATAGGGATTTTTGTGTATTTTTGGAAGCTTTTAAGGTGAGATTGCTGGTACAGTAACACAAGCCATGCATGACTTTGCCTGAAATCCCTCGTGACTCTCCTCTTCAACATTATAAATGCACTCTGCCCTCTTCTTAAACAGTACCATATATAGTGTTTTCATGGCCAGTTTTGGTCCTTACTTACAGCTATTGATATTGACATGTTGCCGCCTAGTCCCCTCCTTCTCTCTCTTGTGTATACATGAGAAATCTATTAGTCTTGCTAAAAGAAATTTACCATGGGGACCACTGGCCTTCTAGTATGTTTTTCTAGCATTCTAGAAAAATACTTAATAGTTGAAAGGTGAAAACAAAAGGTGATTGGTCCATGTTATGTTAAAAATACAAAAGTGGTTTGATCCAACTTTTCTAGGAATTAGCAACATAACATGTACAAAGAAGTTGAGACAAATTAGACTAATGAAAAATGAGCTGGTTAAATCACGAAGTTGAGAACAGTGAAATTCCGAAAACAAGTGTTGCACATAAAAGTACGTTTGGCCAAAGGGATAATATAATCCATAGGTGGCAATTTTCATAGTTTTGGAACTTTGAAGAAGAAGAATAAATTTTGCGCATGCTTGCTTCTGTCACATGCCAATGTCCTTTGGCCTTAGAGACATCTGCAGGCTTGTCCAGCTGCTTGATGATGCTGTATTCTTAGCGGTTGTTTTCAGGATCCAGGAAATTTTAAGACGACAGTGAAACTGTCCTCCTGTCAAATAATTTTCTTTCTTGTACCTTTTAAATTGCGGGCTAGTTGTGTTAGGGAATAGCTCAAATCGTAAAGAGTTAAAGTCAAAAAGTGATGCGCCATTTAATTTACTGGAAACTACTACAACAGAATCCCTTTTTTTTTTTTTTTTTGAGGAATATGAGTCAAAGCAATAACAATAATATTTCTAGTGAAGTATCTTTCACTAAAAGACTTGAAATAAGTAATTCAACTCATTCACAGTCAAATTATGAATGATGGTATTGTATATCATGCAAAGATAAGTTGCTTTTGCTAATTCGAATTGAAAACTGACATAAAATTGGTCATTACAATATGGCAAGGCTAGATGAATTAAGCAGGCAGATTAGTCTGAGGTGCTTATAAACAGCCCTAAACATCACTGACTGCAGATTTTTTGGGGAAAAAGAAAAGAAAACAAAAATGGGGCTCATGTCGTGGAATCATGCGGTTGGCACAAACCACCAAAGGGTAGAATAGCAGTACCCCTATCAATTAATAGCGGTTGATGATTTATATAATGTCTATTGCATTGGCCATGTTGGTGGAATCAAATGAGGGCACCCTTTTGTCTTTAGCTTTGGGTGGTTCTTTCGTCTTTGGTGTCCATGGTTTGACAAACAATGACATCTAGACAAGCTCTAATTAAAGGAAGGACCACAACTTTATTTTATAGTTAGATTAGTGGATAGAGTCACATGGTTTTGCTTTGTAATCTACTTCAAAAGAGTTGAATCTACATTTGATTAAGGTTCGTATGGTGGTGTGGTTGTAGATAAAGCCGTCCAAAAGAGGGTTTTCTTTCTTCTCTCAAAAAATCTAATGTTTCCCTTCCACCTATTACCTTTTAGTCCCACCTTGTTTTTTAACTATATTATTCAAGCACAGCAGCTCGGCAGCTCCCTTTTGTTTGTGCAACAATTGTTATCAGTCTTTGGAATGCATTATCAGGTAAAATTCAAAAAGTGGTTTTCTTGAACTCAATAAATTATAAATTATAGTCATAGTGGTGTATTATTTGGTCCTGATTTTGCATGTGTGTGTGTGTGTGTGTGTTTTTTTTTTCTTTTTTGTGATGTATTGCCAGACATGAAGAAAATGAACTACGTACAGTTAATTAATTGTCCTCGTCAAAAATAAGTAGAAAGAGGTCCTACACAATGAACTACTAATATACTTGCAAAACAATGTCAAGCTTGATGCTAGTGTGTGCCTAGTAGTGTTAACAATATCTTCATAAGTTCTAATTTTCTTTTAAAATTAAAACCACCTAATTCTTGTAAAAGTTTGACAAAGACCCTTATCTGTTTTATTAAAATCGAGAAATCGAGTACCATAAGGGATATTAATGGTTTTTCCTATGAAGAAAATCAAAGCATAGTCCATAAGCTTGTCGATTTAGAAAAAGACTTGTTCCAACCACACCAAATAATCATGTGATTAGGGTTGTTGAAATAATCTTGACATCTCCTTGTCTTCCTTATCACAGCACTGAGAAAGCCATCTTCATCGACCTTCATAATATTCGGAAGAGGGGTTGAACCAAACTCTACATCCTCAGGGTCACAGAAGTCAAGCCTGCTGACTCTGGAAAATTCGGGGAGTTTTAGTATAAAATTCTCATGGAGTTCAATACCAGAAAAGGGAAAATTCAGGTGCACCTTAAAGGATTTTCATAACCAAACTCTTCCAAAGTTTAGTAATTATTGAACATGTAATTTAGAATGACTCACAGCAAGTGGGACAAAAGAACACTTATCAGCTGTCCTATGGCTGCACAAGGCCTCAAGCCTCCACAGCACATATGTACGTCCCCAGTGGTATAATGGTGCAGTACAGGGGTACTTTCTGTCACATGACAACTTTTTTTTGCCAAACCGAATATGTTAGAAATTATCAATGCTAGGAAGTTTCGACTTATAAAGAAAGAGTAAATCTTATATACACTAACAGTGCATACACTATCATTGTTGAATCCATGACATAGGTGCAAAAATTGAATTTTAAATTCAAGTTTTGCATACACTATCATTGTTAGAAATTCAATTTTTGCACAGTTGTCATTCATTCAACGCTGCCGGTGTATACACTGCCTCCGTTTGGATTAATTATTTTTGAAAGTGTTTTTGAAATATTTTACTATAGTAATATAGGCAAAAAACTTTTACTGTAGATGGGGTTGTTTTTTAGGTTGTTTTTGGTGTTTCTTAAGTTGTTTTTGTTTTTGTATTAATGTAGCATTGTATATACCAAACTTGTTTTTCAAAAAATGACCAATCCAAACGGAAATTCATAAAGAAAATAGAAGGTGAATAATGCATATATATAAATATAGACATCATTTTCATAAATGTAAAATACGAAATAGCATGCAAGAAAAGCAGGATGTGATTATAGAAAGTAGACGAAAGTAGTTTCCTAGAAACCAAAAAGAAATGCAGCTAGACAATGGAGAAAGAGATTGAGAGAAACAGAAAAATGAAGTTAGACAATACATGAAGTAAACTTAAAGAAATTTTCCTGTCAATTTATAGTGTTGTCGAATATAACGTGACAGAAATTCGGTGAATTAAGCATGAGTCCCTATCAAATGAAAAACTGCAAATTATAGAACGAAATAGAGCGATCATTTATAGTGAATAAGAGTAGAAATCTTTTCTTGTCTTTTATGTGTATTTTTTTTTGTTTTAAATTTTGAGGTTTAAGGAGACATTGCAAAAACGTAGTAAATAACATTTGCATTATGTAAAATGTTATATGGCCTTTTAACCATGGGGACCGCAGTACAGTATTCAGAGCAAGAATAGGCAAATGAAGTAGTAACAGCAATCCTAACAAGAAGTTAAGAATATATAAGAACTTGAGGTGAAGTGTTTAATCAATTTCAACTAAAAAAAAAATATTATGGGTTCCAATAAACTACAAGTCTGCATAACCAATTTTAAGGTGAAACTTGGATTAGAACATTTTCGTTAGTACCCACAGAAGAATATATATGATGGAAACTGACAACCAACATTTTTTTTTTTTTTTACAAGGTTAAATGGCTAGCAAGATAAGTAACCCCTAAACATTCAGTTCGGAATTTTTATTACTAGAAGTACTTATCAAATAACAAATGATGTGAGTACATATTGCATTAATTAGTAATGTGCTGATAATAGTTCCTATAAACTTTTATTTCCTAATTTTTGAAATAAAAAAGAAAAGAAAAGCCCAAGAAAAGCATGGAAATTGACTAAATTGACATTTCAAAAGATGAAAAGCTCGTACCCGCCTTATAATACTGATATTTTCTTTTTGTTTTACCCGTCACCTCTCTTAAAACCCTTTCCACCCTCGACTGCCACGTCCAGAATTCGAACCCTAAATCTGACAATGATCAACCCCTGGTGATCTGATATTTTTTTCACCTTTGACTAACTCGGTTTAGCAAGTAGCTAGGAAAAGACTGAGAACAGTTTAAATGATAATGACAAACTTGATCTTACAAGTAGCAAAAGATTAAGAAAATTGCAAATGACAATTTAACTTGATTAAAGATTCCTACAGTCGAATCCCAAAACGGGTTGAAGTTGGACGAGTAGTTGGTGAAAAAGCCTTTAAATCAATTAAAAATAGTCTCAATCTATCCGAGCTTTGCGCTTCATCAAGAGACAGCATTGTCTCTGCAGCTTTGATTAGGTCGGAGGGAGATCTCATCCATGTGAGATTGCACTTACTGTAGTTGTAGCAAACCCTATGCGTCCTACTTCTTTAATTCATGGTCATTGGGAGTTGCAATTAGCACTGGCCTTGTCTGATTTTCCTCAATAATTGGGTCAACTCTTTCTAGTTTTAGCAAGTTGGGAAATCCAGATGCCTTGAGCATTATCCCAAGGTTGAGATTGTGTATTTCTTGTCTCTCCACTCTTCGCCTTCTTCTACCTGCCATTCTTTATTTCTTTTCAAATTTTTCCATTTTTTTTTCTCTTTTTTTCTTCATGAACTTAGGTGCCCATTGGAAAAAAATTCATTCATATAAGTTTAATGTAATAAGGCACTTCTTCATCTTTCATTAATGAACAGTGTTCGGATATTGCTTCTATACTTATATCTGTATTAAATACACTAATAAATTGCTTATTAAACTTTTAAATAACGAGTTCGATAGTATGAGAGAAAATGAGTGTATTGAAAGATTTCGAATTCAAAACCTTCCACTTACACTGAAAGAAAAAAAATCTTAGGCAGTTCTTGGTAACAATATCCCCTTTAAAACATTTTAGTAGACCCTAGGGCATATGGCATGTATCCAGTTATCGTATTAAATAAACATTTTTTTCAGTGGCCATTATAGAACTTTTTTAA